CCCCTGCCCCCCCCCCGCCGTAGGAGGGGACACGGCTGTCAATTCGCGCTCTGGGACATCCCCACCATCCTGGCAGGCGGCGAGCCACGCCCCGCCATGTCCCGCGCCGCCAGCCTCGCCCCGACGCCTGTGCCTGGCGGCGCCGGCGGCGCCGGCGCGTTCTTCAGCAGGGCCGGCAGCGCTATCTTGCCGAGCATGGAGCGGTCGTCCTCCACTCCTTTGGTCGAGGTCGAGCTGATCTTGCTCAACGGAAGCCGCCCGGAAGGTGCCGCCGCAAAGGCCGCTGGCTTCGGCGACGCGTGCTGCAACCACGGAGGGAGGCACGTCGGCGACGCACGCAGCAGGAGGCCTGCTCAGGCTGCGGCGCCTTGAAATCGGGGGCCTGGCTGGGCGAACGCCAGGACGGCGGGAAGCTAACGACAGCGACGGGTCGGGCACTTACACGGAAGGAGGGGCCGTGTGCTGCCTAGGTCACTTTCTCGCGAAGAGCTTAGCGCTGGTGACTTTGCTCCTGCACCTGATGCTGTGCACCTAACCGGTTATAACTCGGGATTAGCCACGTCAAGGCCGCAACCAGCAGCTTGCTTGGGGGAATTCACACCAGACGGACCCGGGGGCCGCACTTTGGCCCACCCCGCCGCCACGAACGCCACCCAGAGGGTGCGCCCACAAACTGTGCCACCTGCTGTTATTGCGATCTCATTCCCTTCGCCACCGGACGCGCGCGACCGCCATGACTTCCCTGGTGCCCCGCCACTTGCGCCCCGCTGCATTCGTCTTCCATTCGCCATTCCCTTGCCGACACCATTGTCTCCACCACACGCGCGAGCAAGCGTGGCGCTTTTCCAACTCAACTGTGGTTTGGGAGCCTGCAACGTGCATATGAACTACGCAGCAGGTACCCCGAAGCTGCCAACATTCAAGGGAGAGTTCAGAAGCGCCAGATAGATGGTTGCCTTTATCTTTCAGACTCTTTCAGACCCTTTGACACTGTGGACACGCCGCATCCACCGTGTCCCCCTGTCAAGACCAACGCACGCGCGCTGGGGCGACCCCCGCTTTGCACTCGCACAGCGCTGCCATTGCTTCTGTCGGAGCCGGTTGCGAATGAGGACGAGCTGCCGACTCATGATAAATGTCTGTGCCATCCCAGACACACTGCAAAGGTGTAATCTTTACAAGTGCATCGAAATAAAAGCAAAGAATGCTGTGACGGGCATGGCGTTCATCATCACTATCATGCAACGCACAGCAGCACTGCATGGACACAAACATGCTGCAACAGGCACGCCATCGCTTGAGTCACCCCTCACAAATGGCAGCAGAGGCTAGGGCATATATCACACATGAGGGGACCAGAGCTGCGTCGGCAGCCCGCCCTGCACTCGCCCCTCTCACGGCAGGAGTGCAGGTGCGATTTGGAAGCCCCGCAGCCCCATCAACCAAGGCGCCCAAGCTCACATGAAGTCACCAACCTGCACCAACCTGCCCACCCCCGGCCCCTGCCTCAGCCCATGTGGCTGTCTGCGTGCGCCTGGTTCACGCCGCTCCGCATCGCCTTCGAAGACACCATCCTCCTACCACCCAAGAGGTCCCTTGCTGCACCGCCGCCGCCGCCCCCACCGCCGCGCGCGCCCACCACCGGCGAGCCCCCGGCCGCGGCAGCGCCGTCGGCCTTGCGGGGGGAGCGGCCGCCGTCGCTGCCCGCTGAGGACGCGTCCGCCGGCACCACCAGCAATACCGCCCCCTGGGCGCCCGCCCTGAAAGTCAGCTGCCGCGGGGCGTACAGGCGCCTGCAGAGAGGTGCAGATGGGTGGTATGAGGCCAGTGACTCTGGTCAGAGCGCCATCACAAAGTACGCGTGCATTTGCACACACACACACACATACACACACACGCCCATACACGTTCAAGCGCACGGACTTGGACAAACACGCACACGTTCAAACACACACACACACATACACACACACACACATACACACACATTGACTCGAACACACACAGCTACTCGCAGCTGTCACACACAGCTGCGCCCTGGTTGAGGCCACAGGTCACGCCGCGCAGCCGAGGTGGCCGCCCGAGGTCCGCGCATTCATTGGCGAAGCTTCAAGTCTCATCCTACACTCTGCCTTGCAAAGCAAATACCCAACCCACATAAGTCCATCACCCGGAGGTTGGGAGCCATCGGTAGAGCATGCGAGGTGTGGCCGATTGAGCGAGTGTCACAATTCAACCCCAGCCTGTGCCCTCACCGTCCATCCAAGGGTTCGAATAGCTCTGGTGCCCAGGCCATCAGCGTTGGCGCGGCCAGCTTGCGCAGGCTTACGGCGCCCTGGCCGCCGCCGCCCTCCCCGCCCGCACCGCCGGCGACATGGACACCTGCCGCGCCCACCGCCGCCCCGCCCGCCGGCGCCGCCGCGGGCGCGGTGGTGGGACGCCACCAGTCCGGCCGCGGCGCGGCGCCCCACCATTTGGCTGCGGCCGCGGCGGACTCGGGGCCCGACGGCGTCAGGCCGCCGCCGAGCAGGGCGGCTGACGAGGACTGCGAGAAGCGCTCCCCTGGGGCCACCACCAACACATCCGCGCCGCACAGGCTGCGGCGCAGCTGCACATTGCACAACAGGTTCGAGGGGAGTTTGAATGGGGTAGGCAGTGAGTGCAGATCAGCAAGAGGAGACGGGGGCTGCAGAGACAGTGGCAGGTGGCCAGCCGCGAATCGAGGGCGGGTGGGTGCGTTGGCGCATGTGTGAGCCGGTGGGTGGGGGTAAGCTCCGCTGGTTGCGGGGCGTCACGCGACGCAGCCATGAAGGTGACTGCAGGCATGAGGGCCGCAAGCATGATGCCAGATGCCGTGGATGTTGGAGCGTGGAGCCCTGGGGGCCGCACAACAGCCGTAGGGCTCGAGCTTCGGGCTGTAGGCCCCTCCACGCCGTTGCAGCCGTGGCAAGTGCGCCGCTAGTTGCGGCGGGTGGCGCCCGCACCTGCTCTGAAGCTTCCCTGGCCCTGTCAGCAATGATGCGTGAGACGACCTCCTTGTTCCCTCCCTCGATCACCTGGTCAAGGGGTGGTGACGTTCGGTGGCTGCGTCGCATGCGCGTGCGGGGACAGCTGTGCATCTCGTCGCGTGCGGGTGTGTATGCATGATGCGTGCATCAATCCTTGTGCGTGCGTGTTGCTGGTTAAGGTAATGGTGAGGTTGTCAATCTCGGCCACAGGTGCAGGGCCCGCACTGGATGAGCTGCAAGAGCATGCGCTGTTGCAGTGCGGCACTGCCGAGCCGGACAGCCCTGTGTGCATGCCAGCCAGTTTGTTGCCGTGACCGCACGCACCCGAGCAGCTGCAAGCACCGCAAGCTTGCACCCAGATCCTGTCCCCCTTGCCCCCACTACTACTACAAACAACTGAACCAGCCACCACCAAGACCTCCACCCATCTGCACGGAAGTGCAACACCATTCCGCACAAGCGGCCCGCCCGGCCCAAACGAACAGCGCAACCGACGCCACCGCCCCGCACCTCCCACAGCGACCGCGCCCCGACGCTCGCGACGATCCCCGCCACCGCCCCCGACCCGCTGCTCGCCGCCGCGGCAACGCCCACCGCGTCCGCCACCTCGTCCGTCGCCGCCGCGGCCGCCGCGGGCGCGAGCAGCGCGTCGACCAGCCACCGCAGGCGGCGCGCGGCGCGCGGGTCGGGCGCAGCGCGGGCGGCGCGGATGGCGGCGTCGACGGCCGACTCGAGGTGGGCGGCGAGGCCCCTGATGATGTCATCGGCCAGCCAGTCGAAGGCCTGCCAGGTATGAAGTTCGCGGGGAAGTTTGAGGGCGGGTTTGCGGTGGTGAAAGGGCGAGATCGATGGATTTGAACGATCCACGAAATTTGATAGTGGTATGACGATCGAGGCGGCGAGGCTGCATGTTGCGAGGCGCACGCGGCAGAGGAGGGCTGCGTCTTTGGTGTGCGGGCCTGGTCGCAGGCCGCAGCTGCGACACGGCTCCCAGCAGGCTGCACCGCGGCACAGTGCTGCAGCTGGCTGTTTTGCAGCCAGCCCACCACCCCATGCCACCCCCCTACCCCTTGACATACTCTCACTTCTACCCTCCGACACACCCACACTCTCGCTCAACACTCCATTGCACAGACACTGGACGAGGGATCGGACCATCCATCCGACCCAATCTGATCGGACCCAATCTGATCTGATCTGATCTGATCTGGTCAACCCACCTGGATCGCGGCCTGGCGGTGCATGTTGACCAGCAGGTCCTGGAAGGGGCCCCGCCCCTCCCCAGCCTTCTGGCGGATCCCCTGCAGCACCCGCAGCGGCAGCTGCAGCAGCACCGGCCCGCGGCCGAGCGCGTTGCCCTGCGGCCGAACACGAGGATTTCAGGGATTGAACCAAAGGCGCGGCGAACCAGGCAGGGGCGGAAGTCCAGGGAAAAGGGGACACTCAGAGCGAGGGGCGGGGGGTCGCTGAGGGCGGGCAGAGGGCGACGGAGCGCCCGTGCGTTGGCAGCGCTGCAGCCTGACTGCGGGCCGCCATGTTTGAACCCAAATGCAATGCGACGCGAAACGCAAAACCCTGGATCTTGGGTTCTGAACCCTGAGCCTTTCACCTCTGCGTACGCTGCCACCAGGTCAAATGAGGGCGTCCTCCGCGGCATGAGGGATGAGTAGAGGCCAAACTGGCCACCCACGCCCTGCGCGGGTTCAAAGGAGGGGCGGGTGGGGGGTCCGGGGGCTGTCGAGTTGCTCTTTGGCTGCATATCAGCTCCCAAAATTTGGACACAGCGCAGGGCCGTCGGCCATGCTTCAGAGCAGCTGACAACAGAACTCAAATCAAAACCACCTCTCGTCTACAGCCTCCCGAGGGTGGTGGCGTTCGGTCCTCTGGACGGGCTCTGGTTCACATCACACCCATCCCAGGACTGCCGCCCCTCTCTGGAAGCCCACGCCTTGACTTTATTGCGCGCGACGCCTGCGCCGCGTTGCAGCGTCTGGGCCAAGCCTCACCCCTGTTCCATGGACCTGGGCCGCCCCTCCCCTCAACCCCCAAACCCAGAACCCTGAACTCAACACCCTGAAGCGTAAGCCGATCTCGTTTCGGACCCGTCGGCTACGCACCACGTAATGCGTCTCCAGGGAAGCGCCGCGGGTGACCACCACCCGCACCAGCCCACTGAGCACGATCCACACACCAGGGACCCCCGGCATCTGCGGGCAGTGGAGCGGTTTAGGGTTGTTGATCCGTCGGCCAAGAAGCGGGGTGTGTGTGACGGGTTCCCGTCTGGACAACATTCGAATGATTCTTCTCATTTCGGGGCCTTGCGTCCCTGCCAGACCGCCCTGATGGTCAATGACAAGGACATTTGTGGACAGCTGAGCAGTGCGGCTGTGACCGGACGGGGCGCCCGCCCGCCCGCCCGCGCGCAGCCGCCGCCTCCGCCGCGGCTCACGTTGGGCGGCACGATGCACTGGCCCGGCCGGAAGTCGCTCATCTCGCCGTAGGCGCGCAGCCAGATCGCGGTCTCGTCCGGCACGCCCTCCAAAAAGGGCACGCGCGCCAGGACCTCCGTAATGCCGGGGGCGCGCCACCGCGGGCCGCGGCGCTCCAGGCTGGGGGAGGGGGCGGAAGGTGGGGGGCCGCGTCAAGTGCTGGGTAGTCATGGGGGTCCCTTGCTCCGATGCCTGGGGGGTTTCAGTCTGGTTGGCTCAGTGCTGTGTGTGCTGCTGGTGGGCCCCTGTGTAATCGACAGGCTGACGCCATCGAGATCTGATTCCGCCAGATCATCTAGAACACGAATCAGCATTTCGAACCACAGCGGTGTCGGATCTGTTCCAGGTTGCAGATCACTCAGATCGCTCAGATCGCTCAGATCACCCAGATCGCTCAGATCACCCAGATCGCTCAGATCACCCAGATCGCTCACTGCCCCAGCTTGTCCTCCAGCAGCTCTGCCAGTGCGTCCTGCTCCTCCTCCTCGATGGCCCCCAGGTGGCCCAGCTGCTCCACAAACGCCAGCTGGCGCCGCAGCACCGCCAGCTGGACGACGGTTGAGGATTGGATGCAAAGATGAGGGTTTACGGGAGGAGGGTCAATTGTCATAGCGTTGCAGGCGGCCAGTCGGCGGGAATTTGCAGCAGGAGAAGGGCCGCCTGGGTCGGTTGTGTTTTGGCGGTGGCACGAGGTGGCGCCCGCCGCTCTTGGGTGCTGGAGCGCGCTCGCGAAACCGACCGCGTGCGCTCCACAGCTCGGCGGCCGGCGGAAGCGGCTGGCCCCCGGCACGCAGCGCGACGAAAAGAAGCAAGCAACATGCGTCCGCGCGCCCCAGCGCGTGTACACGCGTGCGCGCGCGGGCGCGGCATGGCGCGGCAACGAACGCACCGTGGCCCGGTGAGTCTGGCAGGCGTTGAACTCCTCAGGCGCCTCCACGCCGCGGTCCAATATGAACCGCCACACCACCGCCGCCTGCTGCCGCAGCTCCTCCTGCAGTCCGATTTTTTGAACGTTGCGAGCGACAGACGGGGGCCGGCTCAGATCATCAACATCAGGGTTGCGGAGACAGGTCAGTGCCACGCGCGGCAGCTGCCACGGGTGGAGTGGATTCGTGCGCGCAGCGTGTGTGCAGAGCCGCCTGGCTGCGTCTGAGTTGGGCGAGACATGCATATTGCGTCGCGCACACACACGCAGGCGCGGCCGCACCTGCAGCAGCGCGCTGCTGCGCGTCGTGCAGAAGTTGGTCCACCTGGCCTGGGGCGACGCGGTCACCGCCAGCCACAGCTCAAGGGCCACCTGTCGCCCGTTTTGAACGTGCGAGTCGAACGGTTTCAAAAACGGTGCTAGTGACGAGGATCGAACGATGACCAACAGGCGGTAAGGGCGAGGTGCGCCTGCCTGCAGCCGGGCCCCGGCTCTCGGACGCCGCGGCCGGATGCCCTTGCCGGCAGGGGCGGCACCATTACGATCCACATGACTCGCCCCTGCCTCCGCCACGCCCACAACCACAACCAGACCCACAGCCGCTCTCTCTCTGAAAGCGGCCGCCGACCCTCGACTCCCAAGCAGACGGCCAGGGCGCCAGCTGCCCCCACGCCTCTCCGAAACCCCCACGCCCGCCGCCCCACCTCCAGCGCCGCCATCGCCGTCGTGCCAAGCCGGTTCCGCATTTTCCGGCTGACCCAGCTCAGCGGCGCTTGCACCGCGGCCAGCAGCACGTTGCCCTTGCGGCCGCCCCTGATGGCTGCGGCCTGCACCTGCCGCAGCCTGTAATGCAGGTAGGCTAGGTAGGGCGTGGCGCCGTGGGAGACGACCTGGTGGCACACGGCGAGATATTCAGGAATGGTTAGAATGGTTGTCCCATTGTGAGCGGCGTGCGGGGATGCCCTGCCGCTGAATACATGGTGTGGAGGGGTTGCATTGATTGGGGTGGGTGGAGGTAGTGGCGGGAACAATCTGGAGGAATGGATGTGAGAGATATCAGGTAAATTGGATTCGAGGTGTCTAAATGGGGAGCCATCACTCCAGCCATATCCACTCTTCCTGGAGGCTGCACCAGCTGCAGACCTATAGATGAGATAGCAAAAAAGTCCGCACTCGCAGTGCTTTGAACCCTGTACCTCTCGCTCCACTTGGGACCAGAGGTCGACCGGGCGGTCCGGGTACACCATGCACGCGTCGCACGCATAGTCCAGCAGCCGCAGGCCGTGGCTGGACAGCAGCCCCTCTGCGGACTGTGAGGGTCGGGGCAGTCCGGACGAGGGGAGCCAAAAGGTGGAGCGGGGGGCTGGGGAGTGTGTGCACACAGGGGGCAAGAGGCGGGGCGCAGCGGTGGGCGGGCCGCGGCCGGCGCTGACCACATCCGGCGGCTTCCCTTTGCACCGTCAACCGGGTGACCCAAGGCCGACCGGACTGCGGACTGCTGGACTGGCCGCCGCCTCGGACCTTGTATCTGAAGTGGCGCTTGAAGCCGGCCAGCAGCGAAAGCCGGCTCTCAACAATGAACTGCGAACGGGGCGGGCGAGGCGGCGACAAGGCTCAGCATCCCAACCCGGCAGTCGGGCCTGCCGCGTCGGCACGCGGCGCAAGCCGAGCGAAAACCCTTGGCATCCATGCTTTTGTCCAGGCCAGCACCTTTGCCGGGGGCGCACGCGCTACCCACCACCTGCAAAACCAGACGGCGCCAGCTGGGGTCGGTCACACAGGCTGCCACAAGCCGATGCACCGACACAAGGGCCAGCAAAAGCGCATCCCCCCACCCCCACGCACGAGTGCAAATCACCATCTCCCTGGAGCGGCGTCAGCCCAACTGCCCAGATCCGGCGCGCCGCAACACCCTAAACCCTGGTCGGCAAATCCTGGCCGCAACACCCAGAATCCTGGTCAGCAAAGCCTGGCCGCACCGCCCTAAAACCTGGTCAGCAAAACCTGAACCCCACCTCTTCCTCATCTTCGTGGTCCAGATCCACCAGGTTGTCACCCGACATCACCTCCTTCCAAATGTGACTCGCCCCCCCCAGCCCCGCCGCGGCCCTCAGCCCGCCAGTGTCGG